CCCCAAAACCCCAAAACCCCAAAACCCCAAAACCCCATTAAGAACATGCCAAATTGAAACATTTTAGGAGTACCTAAACCCACTTTTGCCTCCAAATGGGCACAAATTAGTCTGATAAACCACCTTATTCTTCGCCCCTCAGCGCCTAAAATAGTGATCTGGCCTGCTTACCTTCTTCTATTGCATAAAGATGAACCCGAGAAGGGGGTGGCAGCTGACGTAGGGATCTCTACCAGTGGCTTAAACTTTTCCATGATAAGTCTGTTATTTAAATAATTTTGGTGACTTTGGTTAGTAAAAAGGTCCTTCTTTTTGACCATTCCTCAGGAAGTAAGCACGCGATGGTCCCTTTCGTCTAGGGATCTTAGGAGTTTAGACTTTTGGGCCTAAATGAGAGTTATTTTACAAGCCTACTCGGGATTTAGACTTAGGCTCTATGGGAGTAGTGGAAATATCTAGTTTTGGTAAATCACACAGAAAACTAGCATGCTCCTCCTTGGTACATCTCCTAAATTGAGGAATGTTGTTATGAAACCCGTTATTCATTTTTGTGTTGTTCAAAGTAGGATATCTAATAGCACTCATCTTGTCAAACTCCTTAAATTGCTTCTGAAACTTTGATTTCCTTCTAAACTTGGTCTTCTTTTGCTTGTTTCATTTCCTAGTAAATCTGCTATATTTCTCTATGAAATGAGTGGAATCGTACCCCTCGCTAGCTCAAGTAACTTTCGCTGTTGACTTGGCAAATCGTTGATTGTCTCTTTCTTCCTAGAAGAAGGTTGACTATTCTGGGAATTATTTTGAAACAGAACTTTCACCTTCACAGATTTCGGTAAAAGTATCATCCATATCAGCTGCAAAACTCGTATTCGAAGGAATTCCTCTCTTCTTTGGTGACCACATGTTAAAATATTGGCTCTTAAGGCTGATGGAATTAGCAAATCTTCTTCCTGATTTAGGAATGACCATACTATATGTTATAATATCCTACCTACCCAAGTAAAGAATTCTTCTTAATTCTGATAGGCTTAATGACAGAAATTCTTCTATTTGACTTAAATTTCTTCCTATTTCTTCTTCTTTAAAATATTTTGTAATTTTTGGAGCTTAATATGATCATAGTTCCTCTTAATAGCCTTGAGAGTGAGCTTGAACGACTCCTGTTCTTCCTTAAGCACGAAATCAGTGATCTTATTTCCAATAGTTTAGGCTTTGCACATCTAGCGTGAGGTTAGGATTAGGGGAATTCTTCATCTCCAAATCAAAATCCATATATTTATAGTTCTATAAGATAGTAGCATAGATTACTAACAGCTCTTTCTTGTTATAAGGGGCGATTAGCACCTTGACCTATGTCTTAGAGAAGGAGTTTACCTTGTTATCAACATCATCATTAATATTATCTTTGGACAATTGACTCCTCTTAAAGTTTGATTCATAGCAAGTGTTTTCCTTCCTTATCATACTTAGGGAAGAAATCTTGATCGGTGAAAACTCACTCAGGGGAACTACAGTAGAAGTCTTACGCTCAGAATTGCTTAAATCCTCTCTATACATAATCATCGTAGCTATACCTTTCCATTTAATTTAACTTTTCTAATAGTTTATATATCAAAAGGGGTTTTGGGGTTTTGGGGTTTTGGGG